TTCAAAATACAAGGACAAAGATACTGGCCTTGTCCTAAGCTTCAATGGAAGTTTGGTTAGCTGGGCGCATACTGCTGTCGCGTATAGTATGGTTTTGCATCCTCCTCCGTTATAAATACGCAACTTAGATGACTGAGACGCTGATTTGTGGTGTTCTAGCTGCTTTCTTTAGTGCATTGGTTATCGGTGTTTACCTACACTACCACAAGATCGTACAGAATGAGTTCTATGGTTATCCGCAAGAATGGTTCCCCTCAGTCTCAGCGACTATTGGCGATCGGTACCCCGAGCGGTCGTTCTTCATGATCTTCATTGCCATTACATCCGGTACAGCATAGTCGATCGAATTGTACCATATCTCCTATGTACTGATAGCTCCCAGGCCCTCGGTTTGCCCTCGTCGGTCTATGGTACCTCCTCACGCGAAAACCCGGCCAGAAGCTGCCTACGTTCGTTGCTGTTATGGGCCTACTTCGAACTCTGACCTGTGGCGGCTGGACATACATTACATCTACGGACGACCACGATTGGCATGATATTCTCATGATTTCTTACATTGTTGCGACACTTCCGTGGACGACTGGCTGTATCGCACTCAGCCCCGCCAATCCTCAGGCCATCAAATATCGCAAATACTTGGCATCTGCCTTTTTCGGCACTCTTGTGCCACTGATCTATTTCTTCATTCAGCACAAGGTGCATCGTGTCGCTGGAGGTAAGACAATGGGACCCCGCCATTGAAATGTGGCCCACTAACACTATAAACCAGCTTATACGACTTACGCCTTCTTCGAGTGGTCATTGATCATCTTTGATGTGGCCTTTGACGCCGTGACGGCTCTCGATTTCAGTACCTTCGCCATTGAGGTTAGAGATATCAAGGGTGCGAGCAAGGGGTACGTTCAATGGCTTCCCAGATAGTCTTTGGCTTCCAGAACAGCCGTTTGCGAAATATACATGTTTGCAGGCCATTGTCTAAGTCTTTTGCAGTGAGAACCTGTCCTCTATCCCATCCGCCGTCCTGGAAAAGGAGTAAGTACAGACTTAGCGTGAGGAGAATATTGTCATTAACCAAGTCCTTAGAAAGGAAAAGGCAACCGGCGGTGTTTTTGCTGTTCGCTTCAGCTGGCCCGAAGCACTTGACATTGCCGCTGAAGTCTATCATGGAGTAAGCTCTCTGTTTTGGGACAGAACGATGATTTGCTGACCCATCTTAGTATGTTTTCTGGACTATTCTAACTAGTCTAGGACTTGTAGTGTGGTGTAAGTCAATCTAGATCGTTGATTGAGACCTGTGTGACTCTAACTCAACATCAGACTTCCCGCTTTGGTACATGGGCATTTCAGGATACGAAGTTCTGGTCATGACAACGATTTCGCCGTTCATTCTAGCCAGTCGTTCAGCTCGGTCTCTTGTCGTGAACAACTTGCGCGCAGTACACCTTCTGTCTCTCGCAGGCATCGCAGCCTATCTGGTTGAGGAACCCAGTTATCGCCTGTTCACGGTTGGATTTGGCGTTTTTATGTCGTGCTTAGGGTGGGCCGGTACCCTTTTCGCGGAGTCAGTTCACGAAGGCCGCCTTGAATCCAAGATCCTGGGTTGGATGATTGGTCTTATTCTTTCCTCCACTGCCAAGTTTGCGTGGTGGACGAATAACCCTATTTGGCCTATTATGCATGCTGCGAATGGCGGTTGGAACAACACTGGTCTTGTGCTGGGTGTTCTAGCCGCCCTCCGCTTCACCAGACGCGCACCCCTCGCTGCCGGTTTGGCCCCACGGCCCGCCAAGAGTAGCTCGAGTTTCCTTTCATCACTCGGTCTTGCTGGGTTGTTCTTTGGCCTCCACTCTTTACTCTCTGATACCAGCACCATGATCCTCTGGGGATGGGAGGGTTATCCCATTCGTGGCCCTTACTTCTCCACACATGGCTGGCTCACTGTTCTTGCCATGTCACTTGGTCTGTTCGGTGGAGTCTGGCAGCCTAGGCTTGCAAGCAGCTGGGGAGTCTATATCATCGGTACCGTCGGTGCGATGTTTTTGACTTTCTTCAGTCATTGGTCCGGTTACTACGGTGCTCTGACGCTTGCCACCTACTTGATGGCATACTCTGTACCCATTTTGACCCATGCAGCCAAGACAAATCCTACGACAACTTTTGGCAACGGTTTCCTCATATACAACTTCTTGGTACTCTTCCACGTTTGGGTTGTGGCATATGCCTTTGTTCCGGGTGGCCAACTCGTTCGTGAGCATACTGACTGGATCATGTACACGATGATGACCTGCATTGGTGCTGGCGTGTACGGCATCAATGCCTCAGGTCATCAACAGCAACCTTCGAAACGGTCTGTGCCGATCCAGCAGAGGAAGTATTTTGGCGTTGCGACCATCCTTATCAATGTTTTCTTCTTGGTCTCGGCCTTCCAGCGGTTCCCTAGCAACAACTATAAGCCTTATCACGCTGATGACCGCATCCTCACTGCAGGTATTTGGACGATCCACTTTTCGTTTGACAACGATATGTGGGCATCAGAGTACCGTATGCGAGACCTCATTAAGGAATTGGAAATTGATGTCATTGGTCTTCTTGAGTCCGACAACCAGCGTATCATCATGGGTAACCGTGATGCTACGCAGTTCCTTGCTGAGGATCTCGGCATGTATGTTGACTACGGTCCTGGCCCCAATAAACACACATGGGGTGCCGCTCTTCTGTCAAAGTTTCCTATCCTCAACTCGACGCATCACCTTCTACCTAGTCCTGTGGGTGAACTGGCTCCTGCTATCCATGCGACATTGGATGTCTATGGTCAGCTCGTCGATGTATTTGTCTTCCACTCCGGGCAAGAAGAGGATCCTGAAGACCGACGTCTGCAGTCACTTTATCTCGCTGACCTAATGGGGTCGACCCCTCGGCCAGCCTTCTTGCTTAGCTATTTGGTGACAAAACCAAAGGAGGGTAACTACAACACTTATGTGAGCGAGAAGTCGGGTATGAAAGATGTAGACCCGTCAGATTGGGACCGATGGTGCGAATACATCCTTTTCAAGAGACTCAAACGTGTGGGATACGCGCGCGTGAGTCGCAGCTCGATTACCGATACGGAACTACAGGTTGCCAAGTTCAAGATCCCCGAGTCCAAAGAGGAGATCGAGAAACTGGATGCCCAGCCAGATAAGGAGCGTAATCGCCGAGTAAAGGAGGAGGAGGTCCCTGAGGGTTGGAGATTCCCCGCGATGTTCCGGGGTGACGGCGTGCGAGAGCACAGATACCATGTGTTCAACGAGCCCAGGTATTTCAACTAGAGAGGCTGTATATTACGCTGGGTAAGGGCTTGGGCAATACGACAAGGGTCATCTCGATGCGTATATGCTATTCATATTAATGGGAGGAGTTAATGGGAAAGGGAAGATATGGATCATGAATAATGTACGGCGGTGATGGTCATGTGCTTAATTATAGTGCACGCAATATATACTCTTGTTGTATACATGTTGGTTGTATGGTAGTGATCCAAAGACGCAGCAAAATATTCATTGTTGAAAATGCCTGTCTCTCGAGGCCGGTGCTCTAGGGTATTCTCCATTCGTTCACGGACGATGATTTATGCGGTGGTGTCCATTAATGCATTTGTAGGCAATTTTGTACAATGTGCCTGAGGAGGAGTGTATGTATTGCTGATAGTGTCAGCGCGTGGCATTTTAGTTTGCCATTGTGTCGATAATGTTCGTTATCTTTCTACATAAACCTCCACGACTGGTGTCATGGCTTGTGTACCAGCGAGATAACAGAGTTACAATGAACCTCAAACGTCTTGACGCAGACTTACTACGAAATTGGTCAGCCGCTGACCAACAAGGTCCGAAGGGAGAAATACCATATCGTATTGATTCCTGGATGTATTTCTGCAAAAGAACCGTTGTCAAGCTTGCATTGTGTATGTACACAGACGAAAACCGCAGATTTCCGTGCCCACACCGCAAAGAAATATCTCCGTCCCCACTCGGACCGCCGAAACTCCACAACGCCGCGGTCATCGTCGGGCATGTGAGGTTTACAAGCCCCTGTGGCCCGCTGCTGCGCCAGTTATGACCAAGAAAAATAGAGTATTTGTGTGATTCCGCAGGACGGACCTGAACCGCATGTGTGGTGAGTGCCGAGTTGGAGCAATGGCCGAGGGGGTCAACAATCCTTCGTATTTATACACATTATTCATGACGGCATAAAGACCTTGGCTTGACATGGACAACTGATTGGCGGCTGACTGTACTTTTTTGGAAATGGCAGGTGACCTTCGGGTATCTCAAGAGGCTGGACTAGGAACAACCTCTGAGCATTGTTGTGAGCCGCATCACTATGATAGTTGTTTTACGAGTGGGACTTAAAGGGGTTTATATAGTTGATCCGAGCATTAGACGGATAACTACGACTGTAAGAAAGCTCCTAATACAAGAGAGTAAAATTCCGAGTTCTATGCTCCTCGTAACTAGGAGTCATGGGGGCTACCGGCCGGTAGATGCAATCATGGATCAAAATACTAATAACAATTCCCCAAATGGCAAACTCAAAACCCCACAATCTACAGAGTAAGAAGCTCCCCCACAATCTCAAATTCTCCGCGATCCAATACTATTCCGTCATTTCCAATCCGAACTTAGCCGCTTGAAGACCTCATGGTTCACCCCTCCACCTTCAACAAGTTTGTGATTATCGACAAGCTTTGTGTGCCGCCGCCAGCCGATTATGAGCGTCTTGCCTAGACCCAGACCAGGGATGGAAGAAGTCAGCGAAACATGAGAAGTGGGCATGATGGGCTAGATAGAAAAGAGGGTGGTCATGGGGCTGCCGTCGTCGTGTAGGTATAGAGGTGCATCGCTTTGTTTCTCGATAAGACGTATATAACTCCTCCGGAGCTTCCGCCTCTCTTCATCTGTTGTCTACCTCTTATTCTCACAGCTTCTTAGAGACTCACCCTTTTTGCGTGCGAGGCAGACAAGATGACGTTCAACTTGACACATCTGTTGGTTTACTTGGGGTTGTTGGTTGGAGGACTAGCTCTCTATGTAAGTCAACACTGCCTACAGATTCTATGATAGTCAGACACTCATATGTGGCCAGGGCTTCAGCATTGTTGTTTACCGAGTCTTCTTTCACCCTCTAGCCAAATATCCAGGCCCATTCATCGCCAAGATCACAGATGGATACCAGCTCTACCACGCTTGGAAGGGCGACAGGCAGCTCGAGTTCTGGCGCATGCACCAAAAATACGGCCCAGTTGTCCGCTTCGGCCCCAACTCGCTTTGCTTCAACTCCAACAAGGCCCTCAAGGAGATATACGGCTTCCGCACAAACGTCCGCAAGGCCGAATTCTACAATGCCTTTGTTCACCCTACCGCCAATACGCATAACACGCGCGATAAGGAAGTCCATGCCCGTAAGCGCCGTGTCATGTCTCAGGCCTTCTCCGAGAGCGCCATGAAGGAGATGCAGCGATACATCTTGGGCAACGTCCGTACTTTCTGCGAGCAGATTGGTATGCTGGAGGGTTCCGGAGAAGAGACCAAGGGCTGGACCAAGCCTCGAAAGATGAGCGACTGGTGCAATTACCTTGCCATGGATATTCTTGGTGATTTGTGCTTCGGCAAGGCTTTCCATATGCTCGAGAGCCCGACTAACCGCTTTGCCCTGGAGCTTGTTGAAGCTGCCACAACCCGCCACCTTCTCGTAAGTGTACCACTATCTTCTTCCGATATGGCAGAAGATGAAACTGACCCTCATAGTGTGGAACCATGCCCATCGTGAACAAGCTCAACTTGGACAAGATTCTCTTCCCTGGACTCGCTGCTGGTCGTGCTCGCTACATGGGCTACAGCAAGGGCCAACTCGCAGAGCGCACGAAGCTTGGTGAGGAGACAGACCGCCGCGATTTCTTCTACTATCTTCTCAAGGCCCGCGATCCTGAGACTGGCCAGGGCTTCAGCACTCCTGAGCTTTGGTCCGAGTCCAACCTACTGTAAGTGGCACCAGGCGACCTCGAAATACCCCAACTAACAGCTGAATAGTATCATTGCTGGATCTGACACCACGTCGACCGCGATGGCTGCCACTCTCTTCTACCTTGTCCGATGCCCTCGCGCTCTCGAGCGAGTCACTGAAGAAATCCGAAGCAAATTCAACGATGTCGAGGAGATTTGCCAAGGTGCCACTCTCGCATCTTGCACCTACCTCCGAGCCTGTATCGATGAAGCTATGCGTCTCTCTCCATCTGTCGGTGGTATTCTTCCCCGTGAGGTTCTCTCCGGCGGGATCACCGTTGAAGGCCGTGCCATTCCCGAGGGTACCGTTATTGGCGTTCCCCATTATACCATCCACCACAATGAGTCCTACTATCCCTCGCCATATGAGTACGTCCCTGAGAGATGGCTCGTCGGTGCCCTCAACCCCCTCACTGGCGAGAAGACAACCGAGGATGAGGTTGCTCTGGCTGCCAGTGCATACTGCCCCTTTAGCATTGGGCCCCGTGGCTGTATCGGCAAGGGTCTCGCCTATGTTGAGATGACAAACACACTTGCCCGCACTATGTATCTTTATGACATGCGCAAGGCTATTGGTATCGTGGATCCTGCTGAGGGCAACCCTAAGAATGAATGGGGTCGACACCGGCCAAGCGAGATGCAATTAGTTGATACATTTACGAGTGCCAAGAACGGACCTATGATTGAGTTCCGTAAGGCTTCGCACATCCAGGCATGAACTCAAACATAAAAGTTGGAGAGAAATAGGCGTTCATGAAATGGATGCACAGGACATAAGATGCAGACACCTACCTAGCCACGGAGATGTTAATTTTGGATCCGGCGGAGGAGCACAGAAAAATCATGACTGAATGGTCTAAGAATAGTTAAATGAAGCGAAAATAAAAACAAAAATGCACTAAAATTGAAGATATATCTTTCGTTACGTTGCCGTGATAGGGAAATCTGAATAGGTTGGCTGAGTTTGAGAGGCACCTTGCATAAATAAGGCGACTGAACTAACCGTCCCCGTAGGTAGGGACTCAGTGAGTGAGACATGTGGAATAAAGAAAGACCTTTTAATCTGGGGGAGCAGAGCTTCAGTGAGCTTCAGAATCTAGCCCATAACGACCCACTAATTGAGCACCAGGTTGTGACAAGCGTTCGCAAAAACCCGATGGGCCCAACGAGGCTGGGGAAAGGCTGAGAATGCTTTCTATCCTTCTCTAAGCTTTCTCTGTTGGACATTTTCATTCCCTCTCTCCAACTTCGCTTTTCTGGAAACTTGAAATAATCCGACCGAATCCAGCGAACACGATTGACACGTAACTGGAGTATGTCATGAGGCAGTTTGGCACTTGGCTCATTTGACTCCTGGCGCGCGTCCAAGTTTCTACGCTCATAATTTGACTGGACCAACACGCAATTTCCATTCAACCATCGTCAAAGGATGACTTTGTGTAAATTCTTTCAGCAGGGCAACTGCAAATTCGGCAGTACGTTTTAACTCGATCCTGTGGGCTGCGTTGTTCTCCTTCTGATCACACTGACTTGTCCATAGATAGTTGTCGATTCGAACATGTAAACCCAAACAATCGAAATCAACCCTCGAACCGCTTTGGAGCTCTTGGAGGAGGGGGCAGTCAAAACCCAGCTGGTACGAACACGATAGATGTTTATACACGGAACAAGGATTGACGACTCAGCAGACAAATACAACATTACTATCGACACGATCGAAAAGGATTTGACGAACGAAGTTCCGCAATGGATCTTCTCGGCCTATGCGCCAGGGCGAGATGCTCCTGGCCAGCTCTTTGGCGGATATCCGCGCGAACAGAGCTTTGAAGAGCTGCGGCTACACTTCATGATGGGGAAAGCGTCGGGAAACGAACAGCAAGCTGTGAGCGCCCATTCAATCGGTCTCTACGCGACCGCCCAGACTGACCTAGATTCGACCTTAGCTTAACGAAGCACAAGAGCTATATGCTCAAGCCCAACAACAGATGCAGACCGCTCTGCGCGACGTTAAAGGGGCAATTCAGTTCATTGTAGGCGAAGAAAATAACCACCCAAATCGGCATGATATTTGCAAACAGGGAACGCAAGGAGCTCCCTTTGGCGAATTTCTCGTTGGGAAGCGACCCAAGTCGACAATCGCCGATACAGGCGCTCAGCCAACCCCGTTCGGGTCCAACAATAACAACGCTTCGAGTCCTTTTGGTGGTGGCGCATCGGCCGGTGGAAGCGCCTTTGGGCAGCCATCGACTCTCGGCGCGAAACCAAGCGCGTTTGGTACGCCCTCCTTTGGTCAACCATCGCAGCCAGCTCAAGGAGGAGGCTCGGTATTTGGTCAGCCATCGCAACCTTCAGCGTTCGGACAACCATCACAGTTGGGACAAACCGCCTCAGCATTCAGCAAGCCAGCGCAAACCTCAACCTTTGGCCAGCCGTCACAACCAGGGTCTGCTTTTGGCCAACCTTCAGCTTTAGGCGCAAAGCCCAATCCGTTTGGCACACCAGCCTTCGGACAACCTTCGCAACCAAATGCACAAGGCAGTGTCTTCGGCCAACCGTCACAGCCAAATACGCAAGGCAGCGCATTCGGTCAACCGTCACAGATAAATGCCCAGGGCAGTGCCTTTGGCCAAGCCAGCCAACTTGGACAGAAACCGAGTCCCTTCGGAGCACCAAGTGGAACGAACAACAGCTCTAGCCCATTCGGAGCCGTCGCAAATAACAACAGTGCCCCTGCAGCGAACCCCTTTGGTGCTCCAAGTGGTAGCGCAACAACCAGTCAGCCTGCCAATCCTTTCGGATCCAACAGTAATAACCAGAACAATGCCCCGGCGAATCCGTTTGGACAACCCTCACAGCCTGCTCAGGGAAGCTCGCCATTTGGCCAACCTTCAAATGCTGCCGCACCGGCTACAGCAACCCCATTCGGTGCATCTAATGCGACCTCGAATCAACCTACAAACAGTCCATTTGGCCAGCCGTCACAGACTCAGTCGAATGGCTTTGCATCACAGAATAACCAAACACCAGCGAGCAATCCATTTGGTCAAGCCGCGCAGCAGAAACCAGCGAATTCTTTTGGCCAACCTTCTAACGCTGCACCAGCTGCCGCCAACCCGTTTGCTACAACGCAGGCTCAAAACCCCCCAGCAGCAGCAGCGGCGGCATCCGCTACTTCGACAGGCCCATATCCACCGAACAGCAGTAGACAGCATCCGCCAATTGAGAGCTATAGCTCAAAAGGTATGGATGGTCGGCTATCAATGTTCAAGGGCAAATCAGTCATCTACAAGGACGGCAAACCTGGAATTCGAGAATTCGATGGGACCTGGCGGCGGATTTGGTTCCCAGATGGTCCTCCTGCGTTCTCAGCGGATACAGAATTGGCCCCTGAGATGTACGACGACAAGTCCAAGGCTCAGTGGATGGCCTTCGCACAGACCGGGACCTTTGAGGGTGGCCTGATGCCCGAACTACCGCCTCCGCGAGAATGTACACTATGGGACTTCTAAGCAAGGAGTCAAGTCGAGTCAGTTCACAGCTTGTTTTATATATGATGTGGAGATGAAGAGTCGAGGATGAATAGATGGCGTTAGACGATTCAGGAGAATGCATTAATTGGCGTTGTGTGTAATCATTGGGGTGGCTTGGATGCATAATCTACCTAGACAGTAAAAGAAACAACTTCACAAGACAAGCAAACTGAAGGATGGTATCAGATTCAGTGCATTTTTATTAAGTTGCTGTGTGGTATTAATACAGCAAGCCCCATTTCAAGCTATGAAATGACAGAATAGTTTTATTGAATGCTAGAGATCTTGTAAAGACTAGGTACGTATCCACAACATCCATATCAATAAAGCTCATGAGCGAAATCATCTAAAGATATTTGCTTGGTGTTTGCCTTGTAGCACAAACTCCTACCTTTTTCTTACCAGGGCAGCTCGGGTAAAGATGCACTAGTCCAGGAGCACTCAAGCGTTTTCATAATCAGAGCCATTGATTGGCTTGAGCGGTCTAAAAGTATCTTTGTACCTCCTCCAGGTTGACTTCATCAGCTTGCAGCTGTGAGAATCCACTTTCTGATGAATCATCCGGCGATGCAAACGCAGGCTTGAGCCACGATATTTATGAAGGTCAGAGCGGCAGTCTATAAGATCGACTCATCTCTCTCTTGGTATCCTTTTCAAACCCAAAATTGCACTCATTTTAGTGCCCAAAACCAGAAATTTACCATTCACACAAAGGCACCCAACCATGGTCTCTTTACCATCCCTCGCACCATTCCCCCAGTCATCATGGCGACAGCATCTCTCCTCTAGCGAATGGAATACACTTCTCCGGTCATGGACATCTATTTGCCGTGCCGTTTCATCCCTGTCTGAAAAGGACATCAAGGCAGCCTTGGCCCGCGACGACTCCATTGTAACGTTCCTGGTCTCCTTCGCAGAGGAGACAGCAGAGGCAGGCTTCACAATACTAGACTCTCACTCGACAACACTACCGAAAGCTGTATTTCAGCTCGTATCGAGAGTCTTCAATGTATCTCCGCCACCTCAACTATTCGATTATGCGTTTTTGGCAAATATTGCAAGGATATTCCCCAGGAAAGCTACGGCCGCTCTCATTGCACAGCTCTTTCAGCGACATGCTGCTGCGCTCGAGGCTGCATTGACTGCCCTAAAGAAGCAACTTATCCCACAGTTAGAGGCCGGTATCAAAGGGGATTTGAAGAGCGTCGAAGCCCGTTTGATACGACTGAATTATCTTCTGCATGCTTCACCAAATACCTGCACTTTGTTCCTTGCGGGATCTGATTTTCTCGATGGCCTCATCGTGTGCTTCCGCGTCATGAACCCTCCCCTACGCAAAGTGATATTGACCACGACGTATTTATGTCTGGTTGGGCTAATAGGTACTGAACCAGCCAAATGGTCGATGCTGAGTGATCAACTATACGCCCTCAAAGAAGCGGCTGATGCCCACAAGGCTGGCCCCCTCAATGTCAACGATTCACTGGTCCCTGAGCTCATCACCAACACCCCCCTATTGAAAATATTACTACGGAGGGCGGAGGATTCCGGCGCGGCGACCGAAAATTTCAAGAAGCGAATTACGGCCCTGGAGAGCTACAGAAAGGGAACCATGGTCCGTCCCAAACGACTTAGAAGAAGGAGACTGGATAAAGGTAAAGGCAAGATATCACAACAAGAAGTGAATGCCGAGTTTCACGTTCATAAAATGAGCCAAATCACTCAGGTTCAGGATTTGTTTCCCGATTTAGGATCCGGCTTTGTGTCCAAATGTCTCGATGAATACGGAGAGGACGTGGAGCAGGTTGTTGCCAATTTGCTAAGTGAGACTCTACCGCCTCACTTGGCGAATGCTGACCGCAGTGAGTCCTTGTATGTTATAACAATCTACCTGTTCTCAACCCGCGATTATTTGTTAATCCATCATTAGGTCATCACACCCTGAAGCAAGACATACAGAGCTTGCACCGCGATCTACTCCGCCTCAGGTTCCCACGCGACACAACGTTTTTGACGACGATGATTTCGACCGCCTTGCCATGGACGTTTCTAAGGTTTCATTTGGAAAGAAACCAGCCAAGAACGCCGACGAGATGCTCAAAGACAAAGCAAACGCGCCTAACAAATCGGCCATTCTCTCTGCTCTCGCGGCATTCGATTCTGATGATGACGAACGCGATGATACTTATGATGCTGACGATGTGGGTGGCACTGTTGACGCCTCCAACCAGGAGGCCGATGCTGCGAGCGACAGCAACGAAGAGGCACTGTTCCGCGCGTACCAGATGGACTCAAAGCTGTTTGACCGTGATGTCGGCACAAGGCGAGGTAACCCGCGAGCCAAATTGCGGGAAGAAACTGGAATGACAGATGAAGCCATAGAGGGATGGGCCCTCATCTTAGTCAGGAACCCGCAACAGAAGCGACGATTAGAGTCCAAGTATGCCTTTAGTGGACAACAAGCGCAGCTAGAACGCACATCTTGGCGAGCGTCTCCAGCTGGCTCAGGAGAAGAAGGAAGCGAACCTGACGGTGGATCATCGAGAGGTGGCAGAGGTCATGGACGAGGGCGAGGACGAGGGCGAGGTCGCGGAAGAGGAGGCAATGTTGCGGGCCCTACAGGCGAGAAAGAGACAGAAAGTGCCAGGAAGAGCAAGGAAGCCAATAAGGGATCTCGGGCGAACCACAATAGACGCGATGCTCGAGCCAAGAAGATGGCACGAGGGGGTTTCGCTGGCTGATCAATCACCAGTTCTCTGCTTCTTCCATCTACCTGGAGCCGGTGCGGCAGCTAGACAAGACGTTCTTCTCTTTCGGGCCTGAGTTGGCGCAGTTGCTTCTGGCCCATACAGATCACCAAGATCAAGCTCCGTAGCATAGGGGCTCTTCATATCGGCTATCATGGGAGTGCCAGGATAACCACTGGGCCCTGCTGGAGAGACGATACCGCTGAGAGAAACCAGAGTCTCTTCGATGCCCGAGTAGCGGTGGTAATCCTTTGGTGTAGCTAGCTCTGAGACAGCCTCAATAGAGGTCAGATCCTGGTCGCCATCACCTGTGCCCATTATCATGCTTTGGAGCGACATCCGCGAACTCCTCCTGCTACTATTGAGGTACACCCGTAGATCGAAGCATTGACGACATGATGGATGTAACGGAAAGCAGTTTGCCTCATCACGATGCTGCGGAAGTTTAGGGCGTGACTGCTGCCCACACTTTTCCTGGATGTCGTCGAAAATGTCTGCGATGGGAGTGAAGTAGGTGACACGTTGTCCGGGCCCCCAATAGTTATTGCGACCCCATACTTGACCGATTAGGCCATTTGTATTGGCGTCAACAACTCCAGCGCCACTGTCGCCGTTGACACCAATGCCTCCACGTATCCAGGCATCCTCATCCTCTTGCGGCCATGGTTCCTCGATAAACCACTCTCTCGTAGCCTTCTGCGTCTGGTTCTCTACCCCAGATACATACGCAGGGATCTCGCAAATCTGGCCTCGCTGATAACCAGATGTTCGACCGCTAGACAGAACATCTGCACCTGGCACGATAGCGGTTGTAGTAGCTATGGTTGGTTCCTGAGTTGGAGGTTGGGTTTCTGAAGGGAATTTGCGAAGGATGTTTGCTTGTGAAGTACGGGCACCGATGAGAGCCCAGTCTGTTACGACAAGGGGCTTGTCCATATCACACTCATCCCAATAAGGATCATGTGAAATTCTCGTTGTCTTGAGGTTCAGACCTGACGTGACCTCGAGCCTACCAAGCCTGAAGTTCGTCTCCTGGGCCATGGCATCATGTCCCTCGTCAATGCATCGCTTGCGATCTTGGGAAGATGGATGCTCAACCTCCACTTGAGCGAGCTGTTGGTAGGCCTCCATGAAGGGATGAAAGTTGCCCAACCAATAACTCCCACCACCAACGGTGATGCAAGGACCAAGAGTAGCAGTGCTATCTTCAAACATCCCATTTCCTGTCACACCGATACTGTCACCCATGCAAGGATCGCGAAAGAAGTAGGGGTTTCTCGCGGCACAAATATCGTCCTTATGATCTTTGCCTAGGCCACGAGCCCAGGTAACGGTACGATTAATCTCCCCCTGCGTAAAAGCAAACGTGACTAGCTTGGAAAAGTTGCTGGGAATAAGATCTTGAACGTGGCTAACAATGATGATCTTTCGAGCACGAGAAATAGTTTTGGGGGCCATGATACAAATTCGCCTCATCTGTGGGGATTTGCCTCGAGTGACAGTGACTACGTGACGGGGCCCAACCCAGAGAGGCAGGTATTGGGAAAGAAATGGAAGAATGGCGTGTTCGAAGACAAGAGGAAAGCTCGTTACTTCTATACACCGTGAGGCTCGCCCTCTGATAAGGTCTGTTGGACTTTCTGCACTTCGTGGAGTGCCTTTGATAGTCAGTCTGTGAGCTATTGAGGTAAGGGAGAGTTGATAACCTTACCAGCATTCTTCCTCGCTCGCTTCTCCACGACCTCCTGTAGACGATCCTGACATTGACGCTTCGTCTTAACCATATCCATAGACAAATCTGTGTCATGATCTCTGTTCTTTCTTTTGAGAGACGCAAGAGAAGTGGTGGGCTTTTCATTTGACGAGGACCTGTTGCCCGTCTCCATGCTAGCTATCATCTTTGCTGGAAGCTCCCATTCCTTTGCATCATCTCTACCATCCTCGGGGTGAGCCATGGCTATGTGGGACTGAAGAAGGCGAATACTCTGGAATGTCGTCTCTGTGCAACCGGGTGATGGACAAATGACAAGATGTTTGACTTTGACATGGTAGATAAGTCCGTCCCTGGTGGAAAAGCTCGGCTGGTCACAGCCAGCCCAGTTACACAGATAAGTATGACAAGATTTGACGTGGGATTTGAGGTCCTTGTCAGACGAGAAAGCTCGTTGGCACTGAGGGCCAAGGCAGACGAAAGAAGGTGTCGAATTATCAATGCTGTTAGTTCGCCCACCTCGACTTAGTGGACTCGGACCTCTTGAGCGACCTCTACCGTTACGGACGGTCATTGCATCACTGAATTCGGTCGGAACAGAGGAGAAAATGGAACCAGTAGAAGAAGTATCGGCACTGATGGTGGAAATTGTACTCATCTCTCGCATATCGATTTCACCAGACCAATTGGCACAAGGCTCGAGGCCCAGGTCCAACTGGGCTGGTGATGCAGACCGATAGCAGTCAATATTGAAGTCGGAATGAATCGATTGAATTGGCTGACGGAAGAAATCAAAAGACATGAGACTGGGAGAGACAGTAGTCTTTGACATCGACAAAGCAATTGAAGCCGGTGTCGTGGGAGGCGTCGATACTGCTTGAACGGTCCGATGCTGGACTGTGGGGCCGTGGTAATGGCCGGGACCGTTGAAGTTAACGGCCCCGCGGTGGTCCTTGCGCCTGAGGTTGTTCATTGTGTGAGTTGATTAAATTAACTCACAATGGCTTTGTGAGGCTGCAATTGAGGAAAAACACGGACAAAGTAGATTTTGAGGGGTCGAACAAGGAATGGAGAAAATGCAAAACATCCGGGAACTGGGGGCCTTCCTTTGGTCATAGGGGACTGCGGTTGCCTGAAGAAAGCTGGCGGCCTCTGCAGAGGTGGGCGAACCACTCAGCTACTGCAGTCCCTGAGAAGGAGTCCATTTTGTGTAAGCAAGTGTAAGTGGTAACGCTGACTGATGATGCGGGACATAAAGTACAGGGGGAGGGCCCAGGTGAGCTATGTGGAAAGAAAATAAAACATGAAAATGAAGCCCAAAAGACCACCAGCATTGATGGCATGGCTGATAGTGTCATAAACATGTTGGACTTGTTGACTACTCTTCTCTTCGCTTCTCTTTTTCTCTTTCCTTATTACGCAAAGTACGTTAGGCAGACTGGAGATACCTACTTGGTAGGACTTTTGGCCCCCAACTGTGTTCGATCAACCCCTCACTATTTGGGAGAAGTCCGTAGTTTCATAGGTATTGGCTTGTGGTATAGTGCAGGGGTGTTTTGTGCCTTATGGCAATCGTCGTACTGTAAGAGTTGCTCATACTTCTTATCATTCATTGAGTTATTATTCTTGATTACTGGCCTCACAATATTCACCTCTTTTCTTATATCTAAAGTGTCTTGCAGTTGGAAGTTGCTTGAAAAAAGGAAACCCGTCCTAGAATTATAGTTGACCTAACCAAGCTTCCTTTCTGTAGACATGATATGTAGTTGTAAGGTCGTTATAATCATTCCATTCGAGCAGTATATGTTTATGTAGGTGAGGCACCTACGTAGCAGTGGAGGTTCTGGGGTAGAGAAGTTCCTGAATTATTTCACATTAAAGAAGGGAAGTATCCTTTATCATATATTTACCTCCCTTATGTAGTGTTCATTGAGATGAAGCGATAGACATTCAGGAGTCAAACCTGCCAATATCTTACTGTATAAGTGCCTTGAATCTCGAACTTCCTCTATCAATATTATACTCTCTATTAATGGCCTTGTTGTCTTGAGTTATTATTGTGCTGGGTGCCCTCTAAAGAGCCGAATGATGATCAGTCGCGTTGATAATTTGGACGTTTATTATGTTGCAACGACTATCTGATATTGAGAGAAGAAAACGTCAAGCCTTGCCAACTTACCAAGCAATTTATACCAATATGTTAGCTGGAACCATATGATCTAGAGGTAATCGTATTAGACCGTAAATTCAAATGCTTCGGTCTTATATAGGCAAGTTCCCAAGAAATCCTTTCGCCTGATCAAGTTATTCTCTGGCTCTTGGAATGATCCCCTGGGCACGGAGCTCTTAGGGCCAAATGTGTATCTTGGGCCAGTGATCAGTCTACAATGGCTGTTCGGATAGCTTGCCAGCATTGTCAGAGCCAACGGCACTGGTATTTGATACAAAGTCCGTCTGGGAGGACAAGAAATTAATACGAAGACCCAGCACTTGGAGCATGTTGTTTTCGATCTCGCTGGATATTGTGTCCCCGATAGGACTCCACCTCGGAAACCTGAAGAGCTGGAGATAGTATTCTTGGTATAGGCAGATGGCGTTGTTCTAGCACGCGCAGAAGTATCAAGTGATAGAAGGAAAGAATTGTGCGAGATCATGAAGAAACTTCTTTCTATAATGCTCACCTTGCATCGTCCAAATCATTATGGGGTATGATAATTATGCTCTAAACCAATTCTACTCTTCCACTACTGTCTTCATTATAGTAATCAACTCAATTGTAACCATCATGACGCCGTTCATAAACCTCTCTGAAGTTCCTCGACCACATCACTAAGCATCCTTAGTCCGTAGAACTTGGCTACCCTCCTCATAACTCCGAGTTTCTTGCTCACGTCTTGTCGCGATACAATTTCCTTCCACTCTCCACTGCAGGTACAGTGTTCCATAAACTCGTTCAGTCTCAGTGCGCCGCACCGGGCACATTTTAGATCCTGTGTTGTCCATTCCACAATCCAGCTCTCTACTATACCCAATAATCGCTCTTCTATGGCGACACGATCGAACTCAGTGCCACAGAAGCCGCAGCACCAAGCAGCACCTTCGCCAAAGAGGTCTTCGTCTCTGCATAGGTCTAGATCTCGCATCATAGTGCAGCTGTCACAAGATATCTGAGGAAGACGAAGGCTTTCTGATGGGTTTGTGAAGGTACCGTCTTTGGAGAACTCGCGCACCTCGAACAAGGCCAGAAGCTCTTTCCGAAGTAATCGAGCTTCAAGTGTGATATTTTTGTCAAGCGATAGAACTTGCATGAGCGATTTGACAAGCTCGAGGATAGGATTTCGAGGGTTGAGATGTGAGCCGGGAAGGGCGGGGAATGTGTAGTCCTGTGCAAGCTCTGGATGAAGTAATTCACGCTTCTGCTTATTGAGGAGGCCAATGATGTCCTTTTTCAGAGGTTTCTCAAAAGCTTTGCCTAATAGAATTTGGCCTTCATGGTCCTCTAGGCCCTTGCTTGGTAGCTGTGTCAGACGTGGTGTGCCATCTGGGTCCCCGTTATGAGGCCGCTTGAGTTGATGCATCAACTGTATGAACTCAATCACCCAGTCCTGAAATGTGGACTGTAGTCGAACAGGCAAGAATGTTGCCATCTGCCAGTGCATGACAGTTTCGAGGTTCTGTTCTTCGGCTTCAATAACCTCCTGACAGGCCTTGCCTCCGTAGTTGAACTCATCGTACCATACAAGATAGTCCCAATACTCCTTAATCTCTAAGTCAATGAAGTGAAAGAGTGGCTTGCTCTTGATCGACTTAATGATATACTCGCTATACGCATATGCGTTGCCAACCTCGGCCTTTGTGGTTTGGAGAATGAGACGATTGGCGTTGGCAAAAATGACCTGAGATCCCACTCGACGGAAGTCAGCCATCAGCTGCTGGAAGGCCTTACGAGACATCATCTGCACATAATAGTGCAGGGCTCGGTCGTACATGAAAGAGTCGGGATTCTCAACCCAGCGAACAAGATGTTGCACGAGAATATCGGCCATAGTACTTCCACGACAGGCTTCAGTCCACCATGCCTTCACCATCTCACGCAGTACCTGAATGCCAGCGTTGGCAAAGGCGTTCTCGGATGCAAGTGTCTCTGAGTCGTCAGCAGCGGGATTGAACGAGACAGAGTCGGCACCCTCAAGCTCGTTGATAAGAGATGAGGTCAGGATAGTGTTGATAGCCAGATTTCTGACATCTATGTCGATACACACGGACGAGAAAGTTCCTGGGTTGTTGACATTTGGCATTTTGACTGTGTCGAGAGGGCCCAGAAGATCGTCCTTTTCATATCCGGCATGATCAGGGCGGGCATCGGGAGACCACCAAAGCACGACTCCATTGGCCTGAAGGCGCCGGGCATAGGCAACATCGATCAAGAATCGGGGATCGTCTCGTTCCAAATTACACAGAGGCACATCGCCGTAACGAGCCAAAGTGGTGAGGTGTAGAATCCAGGACCCAAGACCAAGATAATGACCAACGAGTCGCTTGGCGATGACAGATTGCCACCCAAGAGGAGGTAGAGAGCTATCCCCCACATCGTATTTTAAGGGAAGGACTGGGAACTCTCCCAAGATAGGGACATCATGGATGAGCAGTTTACGTTGAGACGACTGGATAACCATCATCTGCGGTCGTGGCTCATCCTTGCGCATCTTCTTGACGACATCACCTATCTCCAAGTGAGCCTTGCGTCGGGTCGTCACTTGGGTGATCTTGATATGGAGTTTCTCCTGGTAAGTAAAACAATCCTGCCAGTTGGTACCAGCTGCCTCCGCATGCCGTCTAGCGAGCATCTCCGAATACATTTTGGAAATATTGGGAAGATCTTGACCAGAATCCTTGTTCTTCTGCAGAATAACAACATGGGCTTGGTCATTGGTGGTAGAGAAGATACCAAAAATCTGTCGCTCTCCAGTTGTAATGTGAGAAACGTAAATGTAAGCCAGTGGCGACGTCTCGAGATACGTTCGTGTCTTGGCTGGTCGCTTCAGACCAGCCAGATCAAAGCCTTGCTCAAGGCCCTTTCCAAGCACAGCATGTTGTGTCGCGTCAATGGTGCATTGATTTCCAAGACGCAAGACAGCTCGGATGTTCAGGGGTACTTGCTTCTCATATACACCCTCAACACTAGGATGATTAAAGAGGAGGGAGAACTTTTCGCTCTCGTTGAAGTAAACATCCTCCGATACAGTCAACTTGAAGAGATGGCTTGATGGATGACCATTGGGAAGTGTGTAATTGACCTGTTCGACTTCACAGCCATCCACTTCAACATCGGGAAGATCCTTACTCTTGAGATTGAGGAAAACTTGTCGAGGAACATTGACCTTGAGCGTATGAATCTTAGCATCGATTAGGACATATGCCATGACAATACCAGGAGTCTCAGTCGCTTTGAGGTGCAAGACCTGCCAGTTACTCATGTAAGTAGTGTGCGCCTGCTTCATGAATGTTTGCTGAAGATTGTTCACTGCACCGCCTCTTCGGTCACCAAACAATTGCCGTCGACGGATTCTGGCTTGCTTCTGCAACTTCCACTTCTTCTTCTGGTACATCAAGAATGCTTCATAGTTCTCCGAAGCACTTGGCATAACTTCAGGAAGTGCAGACATGGGATCGGGGTTCTCTGCCGGCTCAGGAGACTTGCGCTTCTGAACTGTCGTTGCAGCCTGAGAGGATGCAATGACTGCGTTGACTTGTTTGGGCTTCAAAAGCTTGCTACCGAAATCTTCTACATCATCCAGTCTAGAACCATTGATGTTGGTGATGTCTTCCAGTGGACTCTTTTTGAAAAGATCAGTGAGTTTCTTCTGCTTCAGTTTGTCGTCCTTGATATTGATCCTCCTTTGAAGCCAGTCAGGATGTGGCACTCGAGGTACAGGGTTGCGGACCTTTTGGAGAGCCGCAGGAATGGTGATCAGCTTCTGAATAACAGAGCCCAATCGCTCCAGGTAATAATCCCAGTCAAGCAGTGCACGAGGATCAGTATCAGTGGGCTCCTCCTTCAGCCACTTCCTCAGATATGTACGCTTGACAGATTCCTCCGCAGAGAAGATGGCCACCGGAACAGCCCGTTCTGTAACAGGTGCGTTTTTGGGTCGAGCGCAGATGATGAACTTACAGTTCAGTCCTTTGTCTTTTACCATCTGCTCACCTAAGAAATCTGCCAAACGCTTGGCAGTTGTGATACTGGTTGACTTCTGGTTTCCGTACTCCTCCAGAGTTTTGGACATGCTTCGATTCTCAGAAATGAGTTCCATCAGCTCCTCGTCAGCCAATGTTGTACCCTTGCTGTGTAGAACATCCAGCCAACGGTTGGCAACCTTGGCAACGGCTCCATAACATTCGGCTAGCGTTTCACCTTCGAGAAAGAACTTGAAAATCTGTTGCTGGAAGATCTTGATGAGCTTGAGCTCACCACGACGTTTCACCTCAAAACCTTTCAACTCAGCAAGACTGCCATCATCGTTGAAGACAGCGTAACGCTTCTTCAAGTTTTTGTCTTCTTCTTTCGATGTGGGTAGAACCATGGCTTTATATGGACCATCGACTTCGAAAAAGATGGAGTTGTCGCTGTGTGTTTCGTACTTGAGGGTCTTCTTGTCAACGAGTGTCTGATATTGATGGTTGGTGAATTTTGCATGGACGTGGTGGTTAAGCATAACACAGGGATATGAGATGTTGAGTTTCTTGCCGCCCTTGAGTTTGAAGGAGAAGTTCTCAGGGAAGGTTGCGGGAAGCATGCACCAGATACCGTCGGTATCCAATTCCAGAGGTCGTCCCAGCCGTTCGACCAGTTGTCGAGCCATTTGAATAATGTGAGCACCCGTCAAACAAGTGACGCCAGCCATTTCGAGTGAGTACCAACGAGATCCCTTTCTCATCACATATCCGTAAAATGAATTTAGAATAACCTTGTGAGCCAATTGCAGCGAGTCGTAGAGAATAATCATCTTCTTGGCAGCATCAACCTCGCTCTGGGCAGCACCAGCAGATTGCAAGGATGACGTCTTTCCCTTCCAAACCTTGGCTTTGCCCTTGTAGTCATATCGACGATCACGGAAGTCTCGTACAGTGTTGATATAAAAAGGGTTTTCTCTTTGGCAAATGATTGCCTCTCGCACAATAGTTGTTGAATCATGGATTTTGTGGTAGACCTTCTGAGAATAGAGTTGAAGACGTTTTCGTACAAGATTGGCTTGCTCATCCGCACTGAGTTCCTGGAAGGTTCTCATAGGAGAACTAGGATATTTACCAGGAAACTTCTCGTTCTGAAGGGCATTTTTAATCATGTTGTACTCATCTCGTTTTGGGGGCAAGTACTCTCCTCGCCAAGCCCAAGGTAACCTTCTATCGCATGTCTTTCCTGGTCGATTGAAGTCGCAGGCAGCACAGTCGGACTCTTGAATCATAGAGTCAGGCTGCAATCGGTTGGTTGTCATGATGTTGGGGTACATCGATGCGACATCCAGATGGTAAATCAGGGGTTTTTCGTTACGGTTCGGCGCTTCTTTGAGCTTGTTCAACCTCTCGACGATCTGAGCCTTGACCTCTTCGTAGTTCTCTACATCATCAAAGTTCTTCTTCTCCTCAACTGTGATTACAAATTTGAGGGCAGCATCTAAATCACCGAGGAGCTCGTCAATAGCTCCAGGGTCGACAGCAAAATCCACCGGGATATCAGCTCGAAAGACTCCCGCTTCGATACTTTCAACGTGGCCACCGACGTAGGTCTCTGAATCGAGGAGATGTCCGTCCCAGAAGGCCTCCTTTGGTGTGATATACTTATTCGGAAGTACAATTTCTCGTTGATATGCTTGCACCATCAGCAGCATCTCACAGAGTGTACCAGTTCCCTTTCTCAATACTTCATCACCACTCAAAGGTAGAATCGTACAAAGTGAGAAAATGAAGGGGTGCACGTATTTCATGTACAGATAATATGTTGCAACGGCATCGGAGACGGAGTATTCGGCGAGTGTCTGGGGTCGCTCAGTCGCGTACGGTGTCATCAATTCGGGATCCAGCTCGTCTGGGTCGTATCCGAGCTTCGCGACAGTGACAGCTTTCAGGCCACGAGAACCTTGAGGTAGATACGAATCTCGGTTGACCCAATGGAAGCAGTCCATGTGCACACTGTAGTTACACTTGTACTGATCCTCGTTGTCCTTCTTCCATCCAATCTCTTGATACATATCAATTCCATTGATGCTAGCCCGTGCTTCCACAAAGGGCCAATCGAAAAAGTCACCGTTGTAAGTCGCAATTACGGTAGGCCGTGCTTCCTTGATGTGGAGGAAGAACCTCTCGATGACAGCCTTTTCATCAGGTTCGTTGAAAATCATAAAGGGGCCTGGGTATTCTGGTTTGGGTGTGTAGTCGAAGTCGCCAATGTCTTCTGAAAGGATTTGGCGGTTAGTAATTAAGAACCCTTGGCCATCAATCATGTAAGAAATCATGATGATCTGATCGGTGGCAGCGTCAGGGAATTTCAGAGGCAGCTTTGATGTTTCAATATCGTAAGCCATTACTACAGGTTCAGCCGGCAACGACCTCTCTTCGTTTGGGTAAATTTTGGTGACACCATGTTTGGCTTCAACAAAGTACCACTTTCCGGCTCGTATATCTGGGTGTCCAGGTCAGTAGGTGATTGACAAAGGTTCAAGGCAGAATGGAGGATTGTATGAAAGCAATAATCAGGGCAATGGTGAATAGTGGTCTCATGGCCTTTGAGGGCTCTGAAGTAGCAAATACTTGGTTGCAAACATCATGTAAAGCTTGTAGAAGAGTGTGGACAAGCGTTGATCATACCTAAATCTATCATTACTCGTACATGGTATGGTACATCATATTCTCTTATATCGACGATGAAGTCGCTCGCATCGGAAAGGGCAGTATTCATATTTCGGTCGTCATCTCGTGAGTCATCAAAAAGGTCGAAGTCACCATTTGAGCTGTTTCGTATTAGCTTGATCCTACCAAATATCAGTTGAGCACTTACGTTGCAACCTCGGCGTAGGCATCCATAGCATTCATATTCTTCTTGTTCTTTTCCGCAATAGGCATGATATCTTTTCTCGCAGCCATGAGGTCATTGACATTGGCAAACCTCAACTCCAGAAATGTCCTTCGGTAGCCGAGTAAGTGGTTGGGCATGTTGAGATCGTCTTTCTCAACTCTTCGAATCGACTTGACAACGCCACCTCCGGCAACCCTCTTGACCCATTCTTCAACCTCAGACTCTCGTCCCTTCTTGACAGCGATCAAGAAGTATGGGTCAAATTCCACAGTGGCTTTGAAGGTCGAGCCGTCTTCTTCGATGAAATAGCAGTCGACAGCGGCTCGACCCCCCGGTATCCGTTCGTCCTCTATAGATGTGGGTTGGATGTTGACTAGCCAGCCTTCTCTCTTCTTTCCGCTCTCATAACGCGCAAAGCCCATGTTCTCGTCAATGCTGTGTGCTAGCCGTGTTCGTTCCCATTTCTCGTCTGCCGACGTGGCCTCATTCCTGGACGAGGCCGCGAATGTGCGTGTCCGGTTGCCATGGTAGGCAACTTTGCCTCCGCGGCGGAAGCCCTTCTGAGGGCGACGAAGACTTGTGTTAGGCATCGAGTGTTCTGGGGGGCTCCCCAAAAGGAGTGTGGCTTAACGAGCAGTTGACGATGCTGGGTAACAGAGACTCGACATGGAGAGAGGGGAATTGTAAAAGAGCAGTTGGGAGACAGAAGAAGAAAAGAAATTGAGGGAAAAAAAGTTGTTTGCAAGGTCAACACTGAGCGGAGTGTATCGGTGGAACAAAGTAAATGAAGGGAGTCTCTAAAGACTGGACCGAGATTGGATAAATTGGCAACGTGAGACGCGTTTAGACGCGCCCTCGCGACGCGATTACACCCCACTTTACTTTAATGGATTTTCGACAGAGCAACGAGACGTGCACGGGCCATCAAAGCTCCCGCTACAAGCCTTGCTTGTCAAGCGTCATCGGTCTTATCCCACGTGCTTCTAAAGAAAGTCGAGATTTGGGTGTACGATCTTGTTTATGACACCGATTGCGTCGCACTTATAGCCAGGAATGGCCTCAAATCCACAGGAAGGGCAACCGATGCCCGGCGATAAGACCCTGCATGTCTGGTCGAAACCCATAGAGCAAAACGAAGCTACCACAGTCAACGGCGAGCATGGAGCGACACCGACGAATAATAGGCCAACTATTTCAGAAGCCGTTTCTATGATTAAGAAGGATGATTTTGCGAATGTTGCAAATACTCCTTGTGCTCGACAGGGCTTCATCACAGGAATAGCATCTGGTGCCGGTATTGGAGGATTGAGGTTCGTCCTCAAAGGTGAGTGGACAATGTTGAACTTTGGTTTAAGGCATGGTCTAAAAGGAGTGAAGGAAACCCCGGTAGCGCTGCGAACTGGGCTGTTGGAATGTTTGTTCTTGGAAGTATGGCATCATACGAATGGTGCCAGTACCTACGCCGCGAGGAACGTCGACAAATGAAACGACACATTGAGGTAGTGTCAGAGAGTAGGAGAGAGCAAGCAAGAAAGATCCAAGAGGCAAGGCGTGAGCACGACAAACTGGAGGCTGAAAAGAAGGCAGCAGTAAAGCCATGGTATAAGGTCTGGTGACCATCAGGCTGAGCACAGGCCTCTCCTATGTACTATTATTTGTGAAAGGGTGTGTATCTTATGGATTGGATATAGCTTGGAGATAACATCTCAAGCGCAAAAAAACAAACATAGACGAAAAGAGCAAGTATAAAGAAGTGCTTCCGTGAATTGGGCACCAAATCGTAGTAGTGCTATGATCTCTAAAGACCAGGGTATAAAGCGCCTTGATAAGGCCTTTGATGTACTCCGTATTTGCCAACGATCCCTTCAATTTTCCCCAACCGTGAATCTCCATGGAAGAACCATCAAATTTCTTCGTGATTGATACGCCGCTTTCTCCAAGCCGCCAGAATTAATAAACGCCAAAGGAATCGCAAAAAGAATCTATAGCCACAGCCAGCGTCCCAACAAGCGTTGGCACCAAATACTAAGGCTATCCTGTAGTGATCGCAACGTTCGAAGCCTCCGTATCCGTGAATCTGACCTTTCGCGGCGGTGACTGCTCCTCTGATCGTCCGAACTTGACCCCCGAACCACGACCGCGTCGCTGACTGCGTCGTGCTCGTGCCTCGCTCTCTTCTCGTTTGCGATACTCTGCCATCTGCTGTCTCCGTCTCATGGCGCGTGCATGCGCAAGAGCTGGTGTGGGTTTGAATCCGATACCGTTGATTCCAATACCGTCGTCATCCTCATCATCAGGATCGTAGATGGTGATCTCATCTTCATGCCACGTCAGCGCAGCTCTGACAGGGTCGACAATCTGGACCTCTTCTTCGTCTGGGTCCTCAAAAGGCCGCCGAGAAGGGCGCTTCATGCGGAGTGGCGGCGAGCCCGTTCTCTTTTTGACTCTCGATTTTGACTCAGAAAGCCTATTGATAGACGGGTATGCGTGATGCAGGCTCCCGTGGTTCTGCTTTTGTGGCCAGGGTTCTTCGTGCACGCGAGCTTTGAAAGGTTGCAGTGATTCCTCTGGTGGTAGCACAGACTTTCCGTCAAGACCGTCCACTTCTTGGACAGTTGGAGCTGCATCTACCTCGCTCATAATCTCATCGGGTTTCTGTCGCTTTCTCATCGACTTGTCCTCATCCATGAGATTATCACTGTCTTCGTTGCTCACTGTTGCCCCGCCCCCACTTTCCAGTGCAAGACCACGGAACTTGTGGGCAAGGACCCTTGATCGTGAGCTATCGCTGCCATCTTCTGTGTCTGCTTGAGTTGGGAGTGAAGAAGGGTGAGAGGAAGACGATAGAGGGTCATGCACAAAGGTGAATTGTATAGGAGATGCCCAGGTTTCTTCTCCACGCTTGCGTTTCGGGGTGCTAGAGATGTTTGCTGACGCGGTGGCCATGGCCATAATTCATTGTTTGGCAATTCAGGGCCAGGACGAGTCGAGCCGAGCCCAGCGCCGAGTAGATATTGTCGAAAGCAAAGTAGATAAATCGTTCTAGTTGTTGACGATGCCTTGTCGAGGTACGTTGAAGGGGGGATCAGTTAGTAGGGAGTTTGAGCTGAGTCGATGGCACCTGAACTATCGGTTTTGGTTGCGCAAGCACCACTTGCTACTTGTGACCTTCTGTCAGTACCTGACTTGCTTCACTAGTAATAAACTGTAAAAGGGAAGCGCGAGTGTGACTTGAGGGTATATTCCAATTGGACCTTTTATTCTGTGTTCCAATAATGCCCGAGAATGATAAGAATAGTATTGGATTTCTGTACTGCATGACTACGAATACAAAGCCAAGTAGGTAAGTATCAAGTTCGTAAGAGCCTCGTGATTAACCCGCAAATTCAGCGTCACATTCGGACTTTCGGGTCACGTTGGATCTGGTTGGGCCAGCATCATATCGTAGATCTGCCGCTGATCGCCAAGTCTCAGATGTTTAGAGCATGATAATAGAATCCTAGCATGGCCAACTTGCATGATAATGAAATATGAATCTGTACAGTTGTTATATAGAAATTTGTACTACCTATGTAAAGACCCTCTTACGCCAAAGCTATCTGATGCCGGATGCGGCGTCGTCTTACAGAGTATGATAGCCACTCCAAATCCATACCCTAACGCCATTGTTCCCCCATGTCAAACCACCCCAACACCACTAATGGCAGATCTCAGACCACTGTGCCATCCATTCCGGTGGCTTTGTTGTATAAAATCTG